GCCACGTCCCCATGTCCCCACGGAGCCCATCACGGGACCCTGGTCCCCATGGTCCCCAGGCACCATTGCATTCCCATGAACTCTGCAGTGCCRTGGGACCCCCRKGTCCCCATGGAGCCAAGCACCAGAGCCCCATGTCCCCAAGGAGCCCTCTTGGGACCTGGGTCCCCATGGCCCCCAGGCACSGCAGCAGCCCCAAGCACCCTGCAGGACCCCAGTGTCCCCACAGAGCCAGGTGCAATAGCCCCCAGTGCCCACGGAGCCAGCCAGGAGAGCCCGTGTCCCCATGGAGCCCCCCATGAGAGCCCCTTGGCCCCACAGAGCCGGGCACAGCAGCCCCAGAGACCCCGCTGCTCCATGTGCCCGGTGCATGGGAGCATCCTGGGACCTGCTCCCCGGCTCGGGGCACCAGTGCATCCCAGTGCCYRGAGCCTGCTCCATGGGTGCCCTGCACCCAGTGCATCCCAGTGCCYGGAGCCTGCTCCGTGGGTGCCCTGCACCCAGTGCATCCCAGTGCCYGGAGCCTGCTCCAAGGTCCCCTGTACTTGGTGCATCCCGCTGCCTGCCCCAAGGTGCCCCATTCCCTGGTTCCATGCACCCAGTGTGTCCCAGTGCCTGCTCTGCAGTGCCCCACTGCCTGTCCCGTACACCCGCCTCGCGGTGACACCCCCGGTGCCCCGCTGCCTGTCCCGTACACCCGCCTCGCGGTGACACCCCCGGGTGTCCCGCTGCCTGTCCCGTACACCCGCCTCGCGGTGACACCCCCGGGTGCCCGCGGTGACACCTCCGCCGCCTGTGCCCGCAGCGACACGCTCAACGTGGTGGCCTCCGACCACCGGCCCTTCAGCGCCAAGCAGAAGGCCATGGGCAGGGAGGACTTCACCAAGATCCCGCACGGCGTCAGCGGCGTCCAGGACCGCATGAGCATCATCTGGGAGCGCGGGGTGGTGGGTGCCGCGCCGCGGGGCTCGCGGGGACGGCGGGAGGGTGTGCTGGGAGGCATGGGGATGTGCTGGGAGGGAGGAGGATGCACTGGGATGGACAAGGATGCACTGGGATGCTCCGGGAGGCATGGGGATGTGCCGGGAGGCATGGGGATGTGCTGGGAGGGATGAGGATGCACTGGGATGCATGGGGATGTGCTGGGAGGGAGGAGGATGCACTGGGATGCATGGGGATGTGCTGGGAGGGAGGAGGATGCACTGGGATGCATGGGGATGTGCTGGGAGGGAGGAGGATGCGCCGGGATGCACAGGATGCCCCAGGAGTCATGGGCATGTGCTGGGACGCGTGAGGATGCAAGGGGATGTTCTGGGTGGCGCCAAGGATGCTCTGGGATGCTCCAGGGATGTAGGGGAATGAGGCAGGCATGTCTGGGGATGCATGGGGTGTCACAGGGATGCAGGGGGATGCCATGGGATGCCCTGGGATGTTCTGGGATGCCCTGGCATGCCGTGGCACGCTCAGTGCCGCCGCCGCAGGTGGGGGGCAAGATGGACGAGAACCGCTTCGTGGCCGTGACCAGCTCCAACGCGGCCAAGCTGCACAACCTGTACCCGCGCAAGGGCCGCATCATCCCCGGCGCCGACGCCGACGTCGTGGTGTGGGACCCCGAGGCCACCAGGTGCGCGCCCCCCGTCCCCCCCCGCCGTGGGGCTGGGGGCTCCCGCCTCACCCGCCCCTCCCCGGCCCAGGACCATCTCGGCCAGCACCCAGGTGCAGGGCGGGGACATCAACCTGTACGAGAACATGCGCTGCCACGGCGTGCCGCTGGTGACCGTGAGCCGCGGGCGCGTGGTCTACGAGAACGGCGTGTTCATGTGCGCCGAGGGCACCGGCAAGTTCTGCCCGCTCCGCTCCTTCCCCGACTCCGTCTACAAGAAGCTGGTGCAGCGGGAGAAGGTACCGGGGCCCGGGGGGGCTGCGGGGGCCGGGGCATCGCTGCGTCCCGCAGCCGGGGCTGCGGCTGGGGGGCTGCAGGGGGGACAGCGCGGAGCTGCGATGGGGCCGGTGCACTGCGCCTGCGCTGTCCCCTGGGCAAGCAGGGCGGCCGCGGTGACATCCAGCGTGGCTGTCACCCGCTGCACCCTGTCCCCGCTGCACCCTGTCCCCGCTGCAACCTGCTGCACCCTGTCCCTGCTGCACGCCATCCCTGTTGCACCCCGGCTCCACTGCACCCCATCCCTGTTGCACCCTATCCCTATTGTACCCTATCCCTATTGCACCCCGGCCCTGCTGCACCCCAGCCAAGCTGCACCCCGGCCCCGCTGCACCCCGGCCCCGCTGCACCCCGGCCCTGCTGCACCCCGGCCCCGCTGCACCCCGGCTTGCTACCCGCTCTGCACCCCGGTGCCCCCCCGGCCCCGCGGCCCGGCTCAGGGCGCTCTCCGCTTTTGTCTCCCCGCCGGCAGAGTCGCAGGCCCCGGGGGGTGGACCGCACCCCGTACCTGGGCGACGTGGCCGCCGTGGCGCACGCGGGCAAAAAGGAGACGGGGACGCCCCTGGCCGATACGCCCACGCGGCCGGCCACACGCCACGGGGGCATGCGGGACCTGCACGAGTCCAGCTTCAGCCTCTCCGGTAAGAGCGGGGCCGCCCGGGGAACCCCCTGCCGCCCCCGTGCCCCCCGTGTGCAGGGCCACGTCCCGGCCAGGGACCCCTGGGTGCAGGCTGAGGGGTGCAGAGCCCTTGGTGCCAGGCTGAGGGGTGCAGAGCCCTGGGTGCAAAGCCACGGGATGCAAAGCCACGGGGTGCAGGGGCCCCGGGGTGCAGAGCCCTCTGTGCCAGGCTGAGGGGTGCAGAGCCCTGGGTGCAAAGTCACAGGGTGCAGGGGCGCTGGGGTGCAGGGACCCCTGGGTGCAGAGCCCTTGGTGCCAGGCTGAGGGGTGCAGAGCCCTGGGTGCAAAGCCACGGGGTGCAGGGACCCCTGGGTGCAGAGCCCTTGGTGCCAAGCTGAGCGGTGCAGAGCCCTGGGTGCAAAGCCACGGGGTGCAGGGGCCCCGGGGTGCAGAGCCCTCTGTGCCAGGCTGAACGGTGCAGAGCCCTGGGTGCAAAGCTACGGGGTGCAAAGCCACGGGGTGCAGGGGCGCCGGGGTGCAATGGCACTGGGGTGCCAAGCCATGGGCTGCAAAGCCACCCACTGGGGACACTGCAGCGGGGACAGGGTGCTGCCCCCACGCCCCTGCCCGCCTTGGCGTGCACCGGGTGCCATGGGGATGCATGGGGCAGCTCCGTGCCCATGTTGCAGAAGGTCGGCACAGGGAGCAGCTGGGGCCTGTGGGGACACAGATGGTGCCCAGGGGATGCTGCGGTGCCCGGGGCATGCATGCGGTTCCTGGGGGATGCATGGGGTTCCTGGGGTTGCAYGCGGTTCCTGGGGATGCTGCTGGTACCCAGGAATCCTGCTGGTAGCCAGCGGGTGGTGGTTGCATCCAGGGATGCTCATGGTGCCCAGAGGATGCAGGTGATTCACGGGGATGCTGGTGGTATCCTGGGATGCTTGTGGTACCCGGGGGGTGCTGCAGTACCCCAGGAATGCGGGTGGTGCCCAAGGGATACCACGGCACCCCAGGGATGCAGGTGGTACCCAGGGGATGCCGTGGTACCCC